AATGATTTATAATCCTTTGGATATATAGCCAGTAATGGGATTGCTGGGTCAAATGGAATTTCTATTTCTAGGTCCTTGAGGAATCGCCACACTGTCTTCCACAATGGTTGAACTAATTTTACACTCCTACCAACAGTGTAAAAGTGTTCCTCTTTCTCCACATCCTCTCCCGCAACTGTTGTCTCAATTTTTTAATGATCGCCATTCTAACTGGCATGAGATGGTATCTCAATGCGGTTTTGATTTGCATTTCTCTAATGACCAGTGATGATGTAGCTCCAAGTTTTAAACTCAACCATGTTAGTTCAAATTAAAGGTTAAGAGGACTGTAAATAATTATGAATGATGCCAGTGATCTACATTTTTTTCCATGAGGAAAAGTGTTTCTTTCATTTGAAGAGGCAAACTTTTGTTCATCCTATGGTTTTAACTTTTTCGTATGTGGGAAAGAACACATAAAATTTACCATCTTAAGTGTACAATTCAGTACAGTTAGGTATATTCACTTTGCGATAAAACAGATCTCCAGAACCCTTTAATCTTGCAAATCTCAACTTTATACCAATTAAATAACTTCCCTTTCCCCTCTTTTTCCCCAGCTTCTGGTAACCACTATTCTACTTTGTTCCAATGAATCTGACTTGATCCTATGTTGAAACTTCAGACACCTCCTGTGTGGAATCATACAATACTGTTTTTTTTTTTTTTGACAGGGTCTCTCTCTGTGAGCACTACTTTATTATCTAACCAACAGTGTCCCAAGGGCTCCAATTTCTCCATAGCCTTGCCAACACTTTTTTTTTTTTTTTGAGACAGTCTCGCACTGTCACCCAGGCTGTAGTGCAGTGGCGTGATCTCAGCTCCCTGTAATCTCTGCCTTCTGGGCTCAAGCAATTCTCCTGCCTCAGACTCCCGAGTAGCTGGGACTACAGGTGTGTGCCACCACGCCCAGCTAATTTTTTTGTATTTTTAGTAGAGAAGGGGTTTCACTATGTTGGCCAGGATGGTCTCAATCTCCTGACCTCATGATCCACCTGCTTCGGCCTCCCAAAGTGCTGGAATTTCAGGCATGAGTCACAGCACCCAGCCTTGTTTTTTTTTTTTTTTTAATTATAGCATCATTATGAGTATGAGGTGCTATGTCACTGCTGAGTTTTCGTTTGTTTGAGACAGGGTCTTGCTCTATTACCCAGGCCTAAGTGCAGTGGCACCATCATAGCTAATGGCAGCCTTAATCTCCCAGGCTCAAGTGATCCTCCCATTTCAGCCTCCCAAAAAGCTAGGATTACAGGCATGTGCCACCACACTTGGCAAATTTACATTTTTTTGTAGAGACAGGGTTTTGCCACGTTGCCCAGGCTGGTCTCAAACTCCTGGGTTTAAGTGATCTGCCCACCTCAGCCTCCCAAAGTGTGCTGGGACTAAAGGCATGAGCCACTGCACCCAGTGGACACCTGTTTTTATAAGTGGTGGCCAGGCACAGTAGCTCACACCTGTAATCCCAGCACTTTGGGAGGCAGAGGAGGGTAGATCACCTGAGGTCAGATGTTTGCAACCAGACTGGCCAACAAGGCAAAATCCCTTCTCTACTAAAAACACAAAAAATTAGCCAGGTGTGGTGGTACACACCTGCAGTCCCATTTACTTGGGAGGCTGGGGCAGGAGAATCACTTGAACCTGGGAGGCAGAGGTTGTAGTGGGCAGAGATTATTCCACTGCACTCCAGCCTGGATGACAAAACTCTCTCTCTCAAAAAACAAACAAACAAAAAACTAAGAACTAGTTTGAAAGCTAAGAATGAGAGGATTACTTTAGCATTTAGATATGCATTATCTTAAACAATACTGTTTTAATGGCATGAGGTGGCAAAAGCCAACCTAAGACTTCTTACAGAATTGTGGTCCATTATCACTACTGAAGCAATGAAGCTGGTATCAAAGCCAATTCCAAACCAGGTGAGGTGATGCACACCTGTAGTCCCAGCTACCCAGAAGGCTGAGGTGGAAGGATTGCTTGAGCCTAAGAGTTGGGAATTCAGCCTGGGCAACATAGCAAGATCTCCATCTCCTAAATTTAAAAAACCTGAACTGAGGTTTCTCATTCCATTTTTTTTCTTTCTACTGGTTTGGAAGTTACATTTATTCTTACAACGTTTATCCTCAAATTATAATGTACATTCTTACCTAAAGTCTAAATTCACACCATTTTCTTCATCCTACCCTCAAACATGAGTACCTTATAAACTTTACTTTTAAATGTCCCCACTAACTTAACCGAGGTACACTGCTTTCATTGTTCTCTCACACTAATGAGATGGGGCAATGAGGGAATGAAAATGAAAATACTGGCTGGGCTTGGTAGCTTACATGGGTAATCTCAGCACTTTGATGAGAGGCCCAAGCAGATAGATCCTTTGAGCCTAGGAGTTGGAAACCAGCTTAGGCAACATGGTGAAACCCATCTCTACAAAATAAATACAAAAATCAGCTGGGACTTGTACCAGGTGCCTGTAGTCCTAGCTACTCAGGAGGCTGAGGCAGGAGAATCACTTGAGCCCAGGAGGTAGAGGTTGCAGTGGGCCGAGGTGGTATCACTGCACTTCTGCCTGGGTGAAAGAGATCCTGCCCCCTACCACACACACACACCCAGCACATATAATTGCTCAGTTTTAGCTTTCAATTTATGGTGTGAGGAACTACTTAAATAGTTCGTTCTAGCCATATAAACATAAACTTTCTCTATGTATAACCTGCCAGGAAGCTGAGACTAAGTTCACTAATGACCTAACTGGCTAGACACAGAGGACCTACAAGAGATAAAACACCTGGCCCTTTGCAGTGGCTCACACCTATAGCCCCAACACTTTGGGAGGCCAAGGCAGGAGGATCGCTTGAGCCCAAGAGTCTGAGACCAATCTGGGCAACATCAAGACCCTGTATTTACAAACAATTAGCCAGGCGTGGTGGCAAATGACTGCAGTCCCAGCAGTCTGAGGTTCACTCAGGAGGATCGCTTGAGCACTGGAGTCCGAGGTTGCAGAGACTATGATCCCACCACTGACTGCACTCTAGCCTGGAGAGCCAGACCCTGTCTCCAAAAACAGACACCTATCAGTGAAATACTGAATGCTGCAGTTGTCTAGGAAATATGATAAAAAGCTTTTTTTTTTTTTTTTTTTAAATAATAGCTATAGCACGACTCCCGACCCGTCTATACTGCTCCTATCGAATCAATGGGGAAACAGGCAGGTTATGTAAGTTTGAAATTAAAATTTTATTTCCCATGAGTTGCCAGGTGATTCTCGGGGTGACTTGAGAACCACTGCTCTACAAGACGGCAGAGAAAACAAAAAGGGGTAAGCGGAAATATAAGTAAATCTCTAGTAACTATAAATATACTAAGACATAATCATGTCAGTGTAAGCCTATAGAATATTAATTTTAAAAACTTCACAACCATCCCTTTTACAGGGAACGAAGCTAACCTCTAAAGTGCATATTAGAGAAAAGAAATTGAACCAGATCCCCAAAAAGATAAGACAAGAATGGGAAATCAGAACTACTCTATGGAAAACAGCACCTGTTTCCTTGAACTGACGTAGTGTTTCCCTCCACTGTTCAAAAAAATGATGAGCCTGAGTAGCACTGTGCCACTTTCAAAGCAATCCTATCTTATTTCCCTCCAGTTCTTCTCCACGTCGTGCATCCTACTGTGGATTCACCTAGCAACCAAACACTGCTGGTGAGAGCTCCAGACACCGCTTCCTGAAGACGCTTTGCATCCGGATAACGTTCCCCTAAAACAGGCACCACCTCCAAAGTATAAAGAACTACAATCGGCCGGGCGCGGTGGCTCAAGCCTGTAATCTCAGCACTTTGGGAGGCCGAGGCGGGTGGATCACGAGGTCAACAGATCGAGACCATCCTGGTCAACATGGTTAAACCCCGTCTCTACTAAAAACACAAAAAATTAGGGCCGGGCGCGGTGGCTCAAGCCTGTAATCCCAACACTTTGGGAGGCCGAGGCGGGTGGATCACGAGGTCGAGAGATCGAGACCATCCTGGTCAACATGGTGAAACCCCATCTCTACTAAAAATACAAAAAATTAGCTGGGCATGGTGGCGCATGCCTGTAATCCCAGCTACTCAGGAGGCTGAGGCAGGAGAATTGCCTGAACCCGGGAGGTGGAGGTTGCGGTGAGCCGAGATCGCGCCATTGCACTCCAGCCTGGGTAACAAGAACGAAACTCCATCTCGGGAAAAAAAAAAAAAAAGAACTACAATCCTCCCTACCACAGGCAGGGGCTCACTGAGTCGGAGGAAGCGATAACTATCCCCCAGCACGAGGCGTGGGGAGAACTAGCCTCGCTGCCCGCACCAAGGCAAGTCCAAGGATCCGGTTGGAGCTGCTGCGGCCGCGAACAATGGAGTTTTCCCGCCTCCGAGGTCCCGCCCCCCTGCTCCGGAGCCAGGGAGGGAAGCGAACGCTCGCGCGCAAAACCCCGCCCACAGCAAGGCCCCGCCCATCCCGACCCCTAAGGTTCAGCCTCCTTCCTCGTGCAGGGTTTTTTTTTTTCTTTTGGCGCCAAATCTCCGTTGGTTCTATTACGAGGTTATCCAGGAATTCTACCCGAGGCATAAGCTGGGGACAGAAGGGGCGTTAAGGGCCAACCCGCGAGCCACGGCCCCGCCTCCCGGCCAACCGCCCCGGGACGGGGGAGGAAAGAGAGGGGCAGGCGATGGATACAGCCGCCGCTGCCCCCGGCAAGATGGCGGCCGCGAAAAGCGGGGCAAGGGGCGCCAGCCGACCGCCGTTACCACTAGAGCGCTAGGCGCTCAGCAAGAGAACTGCTCCAGTGACCAGGCCTCCCCGAACAGCGACAGTTGCTCCTGGGAAGGCAAGTACTCCCACCCACAGGTCTATCCCTTCCCCGGAGCTCCCGTCCATTAGCCCTCCCCGCGGACTGGCCAGTGCCTAAGGCTGTCCACAGTCCCGCTTACTTGTCAGCAGAAACCAGCTCCGCGGCGACGGCGGCAGCGGCTGTGGACTCTGTGGCCATCGTTCCCCTGAGGTGGCGAACCAGCGAACGGAACAGAGCCTGTGAGATAACAGGCGATTTGGGACGCCAAGGACCCACTCAGGGACAGAAAATGGCAGATTGGAGACCCCGCGCGGCTGGGCCCTCTTATATACAATGGCCCTTGGCCCCGCCCATCAACTTCCGGATCTTCCCCCCCTCCATCCCCGGGTTTAAAGGGCCAGGACTCAATACCCCCGCCCCCAACCGGCCTCCCACTATCGAAGGACACCTCCTGCCCTCTCCAGATGGCTCCGCGGGGTTGTTGCCCTCCCTAGCCTGCCTTCTCCGATAAACAGCAACTTCCTACTTCTCCAGCAAGACGCGTAAGAACTGGAATCTTGACAGTGTAACTCCTGACAGGAAGCCCCTGCGGCATCCACAGAAAAGGAAGCCAGTGCTGCTCTGCCTGTGTAGGGCGAGTAGCCGAAAGTCCCCTTCCAGCCTGGATACTGAGTAAGGTGACTTAGATTTTCTGTCTGCCCTCTCAGTCATAACGGATGGACACTCAAGAGCGAGGAAGAGTACAACTGCAGCTCCTACAACTGATCTGGATGACATCTGGGCCTAGGCAACAACTGACGCAAGAACAGTTGTTCTAGGATTGGCTACAGCTGAAGCTACCGCTCTTGATTCAAAGCTCTGGCCGCAGCGGGAAACGTCTGGCTCCTCCCTTTGGACCCGCCCCCTTTGGCTGGCCCAATCCGCTGATGCCATCCTCTTAGGCCCTGCCCAGACTCCAAATCTGGCTGGTTTAATGCGCACAGTGCTTTTCGTCCATTCTTGGCTGATTTGCTCAGTGACTACTACATGTGGGGGTACTGTGATTAGACGCTTTAAAGCTATTCGCCATCTTATTCAGTCTTAACAATGCTACTAGTGAGATCGGTGTTAGTCTGTTTCTTAGAAAAATAAGCCAAGGGGCTGGGCGTGGTGGCTCACGCCTGTAATCAGAGCACTTTGGGAGGCCGAAGTGGATGCGATCACTAAGTCAGAAGTTCAAGACCAGCCTGGCCAAGATGGTGAAACCCCATCTGTACTAAAAAATACAAAAATTAGACGTGTGGTGGCAGGCGCCTGATATCCCAGCTACTTGAGGGGCTGAGGCAGGAGAATCGCTTGAACCCAGGGGATGGAGGTTGCAGTGAGCCGAGTTCGTGCCACTGCATTCTAGCCTGGGCAACAGAGTGAGACTACATTTCAAAAACAAAAACCAGGCTGGGCGCAGTGGCTCAAGCCTGTAATCCCAGCATTTTGGGAAGCCAAGGCGGGCAGGTCAGGAGTTTGAGACCAGCCTGACCAACATGGTGAAACCCCTTCTCTACTAAATATAAAAAAATTAGCCAGGTGTGGTGCGATGCGCCTATAATCCCAGCTGCTAGGGAGGCTGAGGCAGGAGAATCGCTTCAACCAGGGAGGCGGAGGTTGCGGTGAGCCGAGAGCATGCCATTGTGCTCCAACCCGAGCGACAGAGCAAGACTCCATCTCAAAAAAATAGTAACCCAAGTTTCCAGCCTGACCAATATGATGAAGCCCTATCTCTACTAAAAATCCAAAAAGTAACCAGGCGTGGTGGCAGGCGCCTATAATCCCAGCTACTCTGGAGGCTGAGGCAAGAGAATCACTTGAACCCCAGAGGTGGAGGTTTCAGTGAGCGGAGATCGCACCACTTCACTCCAGCCTGGGCAATAGAGCGAGACTCCGACTCAAAAAAAAAAAAAAAAAAAAATTAATGGACCAGGTGTGTGGCTCAAGCCTGTAATCCCAGTACTTTGGAAAACCGAGGTGGGTGGATCACAAGGTTAGGCGTCCAAGACCAGCCTGACCAACATGGTGAAACCCATCTGGACTAAAAATGCAAAAAATTAGCTGGGAGTGGTGGCAGGCACCGGTAATCTCAGCTACTCCGGACGCTGAGGCAGGAGAATCACTTGAACCTGAGAGGCGGAGGTTACATTGAGCCAAGATCAGACCGCTGAACTCCAGCCCAGGCGGCAGTGCCAGACGCCAGCTCAAAAATAAATAAATAAATAGGCCAGGCATGGTGGCTCACGCCTGTAAGCCCAGCACTTTGGGAGGTGAAGACGGGTGGATCATGAGGACAGGAGTTAAAGACCAGCCTGGCCAAGATAGTGAAACCCTGTCTCTACTAAAAATACAAAAATTAGCCGGGCATGCGTGGCAGACACCTGTAATCCCAGCCCCTTGGGCCCAGGCTGTTGCCCAGGCTGGAGTTTTTTTTTTTTTTTTTTTTTGAGACGGAGTTTTGCTCTTGTTACCCAGGCTGGAGTGCAATGGCATGATCTCAGCTCACTTCAACCTCCCCCTCCTAGGTTCAAGCAATTCTCCTGCCTCAGCCTCCTGAGTAGCTGGCATTACAGGCGTGCACCACCATGCTCAGCTAATTTTTGTATTTTTAGTAGAGACAGGGTTTTACCACATTGGCCAGGCTGATCTTGGTCTCCTGACCTCAGGTAATCTACCCACCTCAGCCTCTCAAAGTGCTGGAATTACAGGAGTGAGCCACCATGTCCAGTCTGCTTTCTTCATGAAACCCCAGGAATTAAAATTACCCAAAGACCAGTAGTCCAAATAGGAGATTGGCAAATGAAGGATCTTGTGGAGGCTGAGTTTTCTTCTGCCAGTCCGTGGAGTTATATATGTGTTGTGTGTGTGATGTCTATAAAATAGCTCAAATTAATTAGCCAAAAGGAAAATAAGCACTTGAATCAAATATTTCTTTTCTTTTCTTTTTTTTTTTTTTTTTTGAGATGGAGTCTCACTCTTGTTGTCCAGGCTGCGGTGCAGTGGCACAATCTCAGCTCTCTATAACCTCCACCTCCCGGGTTCAAGTGATTCTCCCGCCTCATTCTCCCGAGTAGCTGAGATTACAGGTGCCTACCACGGAGCCCAGCTAATTTTTTGTATTTTTAGTTGAGACGGGTTTCACCATGTTAGTACGGCTGGTCTTGAACTCCTGACCCCAAGTGATCCACACACCTCAGCTTCCCAAAGTGCTGGGATTACAGGCATGAGCCACCATGCCTGGCTGAATCAAATATTTCGTAAAGGGAAGATAGGCCAAGTGTGGTGGCTCATGCCTGTAATCCCAGCATTTTGGAAGGCCGAGGCAGGCAGATTACCTGAGGTTGGGAGTTTGAGACCAGCCTGATCAACGTGGAGAAACCCCATCTCTACTAAAAATACAAAATTAAGCAGACATGGTGGCCCATGCCTGTATTCCTAGCTACTCTGGCAACTAAGACAGGAGAATCACTTGTACCTGGGAGACAGAGGTTGTGATGTGTCAAGATCACACCATTGCTGGGTGCAGTGGCTCATACCTGTAATCCCAGCACTTTGGGAGGCTGAGGCAGGTGGATCACGAGGTCAAGAGATTGAGACCATCCTGGTCAACATGGTGAAACCCCGTCTCTACTAAAAGTGCAAAAAATTAGCTGGGCATGGTGGTGCGTGCCTGTAATCCCAGCTACTCAGGAGGCTGAGACAGGAGAATTGCCTGAGCCCAGGAGGCGGAGGTTGCGGTGAGCCGAGATCGCGCCATTGCACTCCAGCCTGGGTAACAAGAACGAAACTCCGTCTCAAAAAAAAAAAAAAAAAAAAAAAAGAGATTGAGACCATTCTGGTCAACATGGTCAAACCCTGTCTCTATTAAAAATACAAAAATTAGGCCGGGCGCGGTGGCTCAAGCCTGTAATCCCAGCACTTTGGGAGGCCGAGGCGGGTGGATCACGAGGTCGAGAGATCGAGACCATCCTGGTCAACATGGTGAAACCCCGTCTCTACTAAAAATACAAAAAACTAGCTGGGCGTGGTGGTGCATGCCTGTAATCCCAGCTACTTAGGAGGCTGAGGCAGGAGAATTGCCTGAGCCCAGGAGGCGGAGGTTGCGGTGAGCGGAGATCGCGCCATTGCACTCCAGCCTGGGTAACAAGAGCGAAACTCCGTCTCAAAAAAAAAAAAAAGAAAGTAAGAGACAGTTAAACCCTCGTGTGGCCATTCATACAAGTCCTTATTTAGAGAACAAGTGATTATGCTACCTTTGCACAGTTAGGGTACCGCGGCCGTTGAACATGTGTCACTGGGCAGGCAGTGCCTCTAATAATGGTAATGCTAGAGGTGATGTTTTTGGTAAACAGGCGGGGTAGAGTTTGCCGAGTTCCTTTTACTTTTTTTAATCTTTCCTTAGTGCATACCTGTGTTGGGTTAACAGTTAGAATAATAGGCGTGTTAAGTTGTAGGGTCTTGTGATTTAGCTGTTAACTAACGGTCACTGTTTTGGTCTGAGATAAGCTTATGCAAGGAGAATAATTTCATGTTACTTATACTAACATTATTGCTTCTATTAGTTAATAGATTAGTCCAATGTATATTAGGAGTTCGGTGGTATGAGCAGGATTAAGAATTGTTGGATATTGAGCTTAAACGCTTTCTTAATTGATGGCTGCTTCTAGGCCAACTGTGGTGATAAAGTGTCTTACTCTCTATGTTAAGGTTGTTTCCTTTGGTCTGAAGAGCTGTCCCTCTTTAGACTAACAATTAAACTTACGGGGGGATTGGGCGATTCCATAAGTAAGTTTAAGGCTGAACTGAAATTCTGTCTTGGACAACCAGGCTCGGTAGGTTTGTCGCCTCTACCCACAGATTTTCCCACTATTTTGCCACATAGATGGGTGTGCTCTTTTAGCTATCTTTGGGTAGCTCGTCTGGTTTCGGGAGACATTGTTGAAGTTCTCTATATAAGGCCATGTCTAGTTAACTCATTATGCAGGAGGTAGAAGGGTTTATCTTTGCTTTTTTGTGCTTATGGGGTTGTCTTTCCCTTGCGGTACTCCGTCTATTGCTCCTAGGGTGAAATTTCTATCGCCTATACTTTTATAAGGGGTAAATGGTTTAATTGTTATGTTTATATAGTAAAGTTAAATAGGATTTGGGCTAGGGTTAGCTCAAAGTGATCAGTTGTTTTGAGATCTTCCGGGTGTAGGCCGGGTGCTTTGTTTTAAGCTACACTTTGATTCATCCAAGCGCACTTTCCAGTATGCTTACCATGTTACGACTTATCCCCTCTACATCAGTATTTAGTGGCTTAGTTGTTAATGTACTTTGTGTGATGGTTGAGGAGGGTGACGGGCGGTGTGTGCGTGCTTAATGGCCTTGCTTCAATCAAGCTCTCTATTCTTGGTTTACTGCTAAATTCACCTTGTGTCCTTAGATTTCATAAGGGTTATCGTGTAATTTTCTAGTTTAGAAAATGTAGCCCATTTCTTCCCACTTCATTGGCTGCACCTTGACCTAACGTTTTTATGATAATACTCCTGCTTACTCTGCGATCTTTAGGGAGTTTGCTGAAGGTGGCGGTATACAGACTGAGGGCAAGAGGTGGTAAGGTTTATCGGGGTATATCGATTATAGAACAGGCTCCTCTAGACGGATGTAAAGCACCCCCAGGTCCTTTGAGTTTCGAGCTGTTGCTTGTAGTGTTCTGGCAAATAATTTTGTTGTCTAAATTATTGAGGTTTAGGGCTAAGCATAGTGGGGTATCTAATCCCAGTTTGTACCTTAGCTATAGTGTGTTCAGGATATTAAAGCCACTTTCGTAGGGTATTTTACTATAACCGGGGTTTTCTACAACTTGGTCATAGGTCAGCTTTATTGATATAAAATCTTAAACACTCTTTACACCGGGCTTTATTAACTTGAGTCAATCATATGGCCGCGGTGGCTGGCACGAAATTGACCGACTCTGATAGCGTAGCTTAGTTGAACTTTTGTTCATTGCTAAAAGTTTGTCACTGCTGTCTCCCGTGGGGGCGTGGCTAAGCAAAGCGTTTTGAGCTGCATGTGTGCGTGCTTGATGCTCACTCCTCATGTTCTGGCGTTCTAGAGGGCATTTTCAAAGGGCTGCAGATGCTTGCATGTGTAATCTCTCTGAGAGCTAATAGAAAGGCTCGGACCAAACCTTTGTGTTTATGGGGCAGTAGCCACCCTTCCAGACATTTTCAGTGTCTTGCTTTAAATATTAAGCTACATTAACTTGGCCTATTTGGGGCGGTAAGCAGTGGGTTAGTTGATATTAGAGCTTAGTCCGCTGTTATATTGGCATTAGTATGCTTTCTGAAGGATGGGGGCTGGCTAGTGCTATTTATTTGAATGGGCAGGTTGTTGCTGGGTGGCTATCTATTTTAGCCTGTGGGGTTAGGGTGGCTAAATATTAATAGTAAAATCTCTCTTTATCATTATGTACCTCAGAAAATGGAGGTGGTTAGAGATGGGAGTGGAGGTAAATTGTGTAAAGTTGGTTGGGCAAATTCTAGTCAATTACTTATTATGTCCTGAAACCATTGACTGAATAACACCTTAGTGGGTGGGTTGGGGGCCAAGACATTCAATTTAGGTGCGATGATAGCATAAGGTCTGGCAAGGCACAGACAGGTCCCACAAGACGGTAGGGGGACTCCTACCGGAGCCTACGGCAATGCTGAGGATTTCCCTCCCCCCGCCCCCTTCCCCATATAGGCACTACATGCATCCAGTGACGCGGTTAAGAGGGTGATAGCGCTACACCATCATGATGTCTTATTTAAGAGGAACGTATGCACGGTTTTGATGGGATGGCCCTGAGGTAGGAACCAAATGCCAGATATAGTTTCAGTATAACCAAGCCCTGTCTATATGGGCCCGGAGCGAGAAGAGCCGCAGATGTGGGCGGGTTGCTGGTTTCACGGAGGTTGGTAGATTAAGAGACCAAATAGGGAAGGGGATATCCATGGTTACAAGGACTGTAGAATTAGAATGTGCTATGTCCGATCAATAACTTGATGTATGAATGTACGGTTAATGATCTACGTTGCTGGATGATATCCATGTGTTGTGTGACTTAATGGGGAATTAGGTTGTTATGTGCTATGGTCCTGTGTGGAATTAGAGTTCTTGCTTGTAAGCATGTTGTTTGGTAAGTTATGCACATTTTGGTGTAATGTGCTATGTATGATTAAGCATTCCTAGTACTGTGCATTATTCATGGGGTTAAACATTAATGCACTAATTACATAAGGTAACGGTGTTGTGTATGCTTGGAAAACACATTGCTGTTAGTCCATCAATAATATAAATTAGTACAATTTGTTACTCAGAGAGTAGTTTAAGATCAGAACTTCAGCTTTGGGTGTTGGCGGCAGAACTAGGTGTTCTCTCTCTGATGTCCTGGGGAGCGGGAGGCAGGAGAATTACTGGAACCCAGGAGGCAGAGGTTGCAGTGAGCCGAGATGGCGCCATTGCACTCCAGCCTGGGTAACAAGAGCGAAACTCCATCTCAAAAAAAAGATCGCACCATTGCCCTCCAACCTGGGCAACAAAAGTGAAACTTTGCCACAAAAAAAAAGGGGGGGAGATAAAAGCTGCGGTAGTTTTCAGTTCACATGACTTTAATCTTTGAGAAATGAAAACAGCCTTAAAGATTAATGGTAAAAAGCAGATGTCATCAAAATGTAAATAGGTAGACTGGGCTGGGCACAGTGGCTCACACCTGTAATCCCAGCACTTTGGGAGGCCAAGGCAGGTGGATTGCATGAGCTCCGGAGTTTGAGACCAGCCTGGACAAGACAGTGAAACCCTGTCTATGCTAAAATACAAAAAATTTGCCAGGTATGCCAGTGTGTGCCTGTAGTCCCAGGTACTTAGGGAGCTGAGGCAGAATTGCTTGAACCTGGGAGGCAGAAGTTGCAGTGAGCTGAGATCATGGCACTGCACTCTATCCTGGGTGACAGAGTGAGACTGTCTCAAAAAAAAAATAAAAAAAAAATGGGTGGACTAGATTATACAGGTCAGATACTAGGTTGACTAAAGGTTTTAAGGTTATAAACTGTTTTTTGGTCTCTACTAAAAATACAAAAATTAGTCAGGCATGGTGGCAGATACGTGTAGTCCCAGCTACTCAGGAGACTGAAACACAAGAATTGCTTGAACCCATGAGACAGAGGTTGCAGTAAGCCAAGATCATGCCACTGCACTCCAGACTGGGCAACAGAGTAAGACTCCATTTCCATCTTTAAAAAAAAAAATTGGCTGGGCGTGGTGGCTCATGCCTGTAATCCAAGCACTTTGGAGGCCAAGGTGGGCGGATCACCTGAGGTCAGGAGTTCAAGACCAGCCTGACCAACAAGGTGAAACCCCATCTTTAAAAATAAATAAGGCCGGGCGCGGTGGCTCAAGCCTGTAATCCCAGCACTTTGGGAGGCCGAGGCGGGTGGATCACAAGGTCGAGAGATCGAGACCATCCTGGTCAACATGGTGAAACCCCGTCTCTACTAAAAATACAAAAAATTAGCTGGGCATGGTAGTGCATGCCTGTAATCCCAGCTACTCAGGAGGCTGAGGCAGGAGAATTGCCTGAACCCAGGAGGTGGAGGTTGCGGTGTGCCGAGATCACGCCATTGCACTCCAGCCTGGGTAACGAGCGAAACTCCGTCTCAAAAAAAAAAAAATAAATAAATAAATAAATACGGGCCGGGCGTGGTGGCTCACGCCTGTAATCCAAGCACTTTGGAGGCCAAGGCGGGTGAATCACCTGAGGTCGGGAGTTCAAGACCAGCCTGACCAACATGGTGAAACCCCGTCTTTAAATAAATAAATAAATAAATAAATAAATTAATTAAATAAAATAAATAAAAATTAAAAAAATAAAATATAAATAAATAAAATAAAAATTAAACTTACAAAAGAAATTTTTTGCACTAATGCAAACAACTATATTACCACAAGTTAAGAATACTCACAGATAGTTTCTAAATTCTAGAGGAACAAGGCAGAGAACAATGCTCTAGATTTTGTTCACAAGAGTATACCTTATTCAATTTGTTTTTTGTTTTATTTTATTTTATTTTATTTTTTAAGGATGAGGTTTCACCATGATGGCCAGGCTGGTCATGAACTCCTGACCTCAGGTGATCCACCCACCTCAGCCTCCCAAAGTGCTAGGATTACAGGCATGAGCCACTGCACCTGGCTTTTTTTCTCTTTTTCTTTTCTTTTCTTTTTTATTTTTTAAAGTACCTTACTCAATTTGTTAAAGGCCGTAAATAGTTCAAAATATTTCCTTGACACTGAAAAACAAAACTGACTAAATTCTAAAGGTCATTATTTTGACTAAATTTGAAAGGGTATTACATGATTTTTCTGTAAATTGAGCATTGAAATAAAAGCACAACAAGGTACTCTTAAGTCATTAATCTGCTCTTTGGCAAAATTTGTAAAGGGTTATAAAAGGGTTTTATTTCTTTTTATGTTTCTGAGTCATCGTTTTGGCAAACTAAATAATTTATGGTAGTCTGGAATTCTATTTCATAACATCAAGTGTTTTAAACCTCTAACATATTTAACAGACTTTCCAAAAATCAAACTTCAGTTTCACAATTGTCTTTCCTGACACCTGGGTTTTCGAATACTTCAGAAGAGCCCCTGGAGTGTCCAGAAAACAGAGGTAAACAGGATTATTTGAAATGTTTAGGTATGCTTTGCACAGTGGCAGTATCGTAGCCAGTGAGGTTTATCCAAGGCACGATTATTGCTAATTGAAAATCTTTCCCAATACCCTGCCATGACGACTTGAAATATAGTCCGCAATAGCAATTTTTGACAGTCTCTATGAGGAATGCATAAGAAACAAAAAATAGAAATGTTTAGATACATGGAACTGTGTTTAGTCTTCTTTAGGTTATATTTTGGTGAATAATACTAACATATGTTCCAAAATTTTATGGAATTTCTAAAATTCTAATGTCTGAGTATATGCTATCAAGCATAATTAAAGTTGTTAAGTTTTTGTAAACCATGGAGATAATCAAACTTCCTTGTCAATTGTGCTTCTAACTGTAACTACCCTGAACATTTTGTTATTCATAGACAATTATTGTTTTGTTTTAATTCTTTTCAAAACATTGTTTATAATAAGCTACAGAACTTTGACAGGTGCTCTTAAATACAGGCTTCTGATAACTTTGGAGACTGTAACATTGGAATAAAGGAAAAACATACAGGACTCATTAAGAGCTAAAATATTCACAAATATCAAGCAAAGCAAGAGTTAACTGAATGTACTCAGGAAACTGAAGAAACCTTTTTAAGTTTTGCTTGGAATATTGCTGATCTTTGTTTTGTTTTTCAGAGTCAAGGAAACTTATTTTGAACTATTTATGGCCTTTAATAATTTGAGTTAGCTACACTCTTTTTTTTGTCTTTTCGGAGGGTATTTTTGCTCTGGTTGCCCAGGCTGGAGTGCAGTGGCATGATCTTGGCTCACTGCAAACTCCACCTCCCGGTTCAAGCAATTCTGTGTCAGTCTCCTGAGTAGCCAGGACTACAGGCACATGCCACCATGCCCAGCTAATTTTTGTTATTTTAGTAGAGACAAGGTTTTATCATGTTGGCCAGGATAGTCTTGATCTTTTGACCTCTTGATCCGCCCACCTTGGCTTCCCAAAGTGCTGGGATTACAGGCATGAGCCACCGTGCCCAGCTTAGCTATGTATACTCTTGTGAACAAAATCTGGAGCGTATTTGTTTCTTTTGGTCTTGTTCCTCTAGAATTTGGAAACTGTGAGTATTCTTAACTTGTGGTAATATAGTTGTTTGCATTACTGCAATAAGTATCCATTTTCTTTTGTAATAGGATGCATTTGGAGAAACTGGTTGTTTTACCAAGGCTTTGACAGGAAGGGTATGCTTCCCTTCCCTTTAAGCAGTCAAGCTGGACTTGCAGAGCTGAAAAAAATTTGGGGGGAAAAAAACTGGCTTCATACCCTTGCCTACAGAGTCCCTGTACAGAGTTCCTGACCTGTGGTCAGTAAAGAATGTCACTTTCTAACAGGCCTAGGAGTTCCAAGTTTATCTTGGGACCTTAAGAGGAGAGGGTCACCCAGCTCAGAGGTATTTGCGGATACAACCCCATGGCTGAACTTGGCTTTAAAAGGTCTTCTCTGGTTGGGCACAGTGGCTCATACTTGTACTCCCACCACTTTGGGAGGCTGAGGCGGGTGGATCACGAGGTTAGGAGTTTGAGACTAGCCTGGCCAACATAGTGAAATCCCATCTCTACTAAAAATACAAAATTAGCTGAGCATGATGGCAGGCGCCTATAATCCCAGCTACTTGGGAGGCTGAGGCAAGAGAATTGCTTGAAACCGTAAGGCGGCGGTTACAGTGAGCCAAGATTGTGCCACTGCACTCCAGCCTGGGCAACAAGAAGAAAACCCTATCTCAAAAAAAAAAAAAAAAAAAAGTTTTTCTCTGATGGTCCTTGTGGAACAGAGTTCCATCAAAGCCAGTCTAAAAGGCCAATGTAAATGTCAGCTCACTGCAACTTCCACCTCCAGGGTTCAAGCAATTCTCCTGCCTCAGTCTCTCAAGTAGCTGGGATTACAAGCATATGCCACCACACCTGGCTAATTTTGTATATTTAGTAGAGACAGGGTTTCTCCATGTTGGTCAGGCTGGTCTCAAACTCCCGACCTCAGGTGATCCGCCCACCTCGGTCTCCTAGAGTGTTGTGATTACAGGCGTGAGCCACCCGGCCCAGCCTCCAGCACTGTTTTATGCCATTACCTGTACCGCCAGGTCCCCCTCACTCACTTTTAGTTGCTATCAATACAAGTCTTCTTTAGGTTTTTCCAGCAGCTTCTTCCAGTTTCAAGACTTCTCCCTAAGCTGTCCAATTTGTATGGAATGCTGTTCCCACTCTTATCTCCTTTAACTAGTTAATCCCTATTCATCTTCAGATCTTAGCTGATTAAATAAGTAAGCTTCTCACCCTACACTTCTTCATGACACCTCTTCCAACTGTAATTAAACTAATTATGCAATTAGTCTGTCTCCTCAAGTAGGCTATAGGGACTTGTATGTCTTGGTTATAGCTATATCCCTGGGGCCTAGCATCTTGCCTAACGCATACGTACCCAGTAAATACCTCTTGAATGAGGAGCAATGGTTTGGGAAAGTAAACTGAGATTTGTGTTACTGGAGTTTAGAGAGATTTGCCAAAAATCTTCCTACAACCTGTTTATCAGTGGCCTCTGGTGGCCACTAATAAAAAGTGCATAAGATGGGCCTTAAGGGCTGAGTGACAAGATCTGGGCTGGACTCTGCCTCCTGCAGGTCACTTACACACATTGACTACAGTGTCTGACGGAAAAAGCCCATGCCCACCTTTTGTGATTTTGCAAGCTGGGATCCCCCTAACTTCTGAATGTAAGTTGTTTGGACTCTTCATATTCCTAATCCTAGGCACTGATCAGGATGGGGGATGGGAACTCAAGGCCCAGGTCCAGCACTACCTTGAAACCAAAGGACAATCATTGCCATGATAGTTCATTCCTGAGGTAACCAATTAGAGGCATTCTTGGTAAGACTCCCCGGAAGCATGCAATACTTAAGATTTGCCACTAGATGGTGCTACTTCCCAATGTGACTAATGCAAGGATTCAGAATTCGTCACCTCACAGGTTCCTTCAGAACCTGTGGCATGTATGTTTGGGCTTCAAGGGCAGGTCACATCCAGCAGCCCTAGGTCTGTCATCCCTGGGGGAAACAGCCTCCATCCCAGGCCTGACCAAGCAAATAAGACAAGCAAGCAATGCGAATGTTCTCATGGCTTTATTAACTCTCTCTTTCCGTTGTAATAGGACCTCATTAGCCGGAGAGCTGGAAGGAAGGCCAAGAAGCTGTGGTCTCAGTATGGGTCATTAAAGGGGTACAGAGGATGCCCTGCATCCCTTGGAACTCTTTTCCCATCCACCTGGAAAGAGAGACAGATAGATTACTCCATCAGCAGGAGCTACCATTCCAAAGACTCCAGGCATCTTCCCCAAATCTTCCTAAACAAATTCATCTGTGTACAGCACTGTATCAGATGGCAGTGGCCGGGATCCCCATCTCAGAGAACAGCACAGTGTCAACAGCATTCCAGCACCAAACCTATAGCCTGACATGTAGCTGCCTCTTCTCCTAAGAGTTTGCAGTCTCAACTGAGATCAAGAGGCCAGGAACCATTTATTTCCCTAAGTACAGCAGACTTTCCTCCCAACCCAACCCCTTGATGGAGGTCAACAGTGCCTTCTGGGCTCTCCTCATATCATTTACTGAGAATCTACTATATGTCAGGAATCGGGCTCATATTACATATGGGAAGTTGAGGCTTGGAGAAGTTTAGTAACTTGCTCTGGGTTGCAAGATATCAAGAAGCAGGACTGGGACTCACAGGTTATATGCCTTATCCCCGAGCCATACTACTTCCCTGAGCTCAATGAAGAGAAATGAGTGCACTATGTCCAGCATAGCAATCCCACCCACAACATTGTGTCCCTTTCACAACCAGCAAGTCTGAGGTCACACTTGGGTCAGAATCCCACCCCAAATTTCACATGCCCCGAGTCTAGCGGGCTGATACATCCTTACCGTAAGCATAGGCACAATATATCGCCAATTTTTGTTCAGGGCATTTAGCTGCTTCATCTCTTCCGGGCTAAAGGTGAAGTCAAACACCTGAGGAGGAGAGTGGGGTTCAGGAAAGCCAGTCTTGTGAGCAGAAGCTGGGGTTCCACAACACTGCCTTTTTAGCCAGGCAGAGTCAGGGCCAAGAAAATATCCCAAAGAGCTGAAGAAGATAGAACCATTCCAAGTACCTTGATGTTCTGAAGGATTCGAGAAGGAGTGATACTTTTGGGGATGCAGATGACTTTCCGCTGGACCTGCCACCTAAGTTGGGGGATTAGGTAGATGAGGAAAAGGGATCATTATTCATAAACATCATTTTGTTCTCCATCCAGCCTTCCCTAAGCTCCTGGAGCACCTGAGCCCATCGAAATGGGGAATATGCCTAGAGTGGCCTCCCTCCTCACCCAGACACTGAAATTAAAAAATCCCTTAACCCTTGCCTCCCAACCCAGGGCACTTTCCCTAAGACTGCTCCATACCTGAGCAAGATCTGAGCTGGAGATCGGCCATACTTTTCAGCCAATGCCAGGACTACTGGTTCCTCTAGCAGGACAGGTTCATTAGGATCACGCCATGCACGATCAGAGGAGCCCAAAGGACTATAAGCAGTTACCTCCAGGCCACGTGCTTGGCAGTGGGTAATTAGCTCATTCTGAGCCAAGTATGGGTGGCATTCCACCTGAGCCAAGGAATAACCTGTCACCATGAAGCGGTCACACCCAGTTTGCCTGTTCCATCCCAGACATCCATGTCTGGACCAGCCCCCTGTTGCTGACCCCCATGCCCCCACTTCCCCTCAGCCTGCTTTTTCACTGTTTCCCATCAGCAATTTCATTTTCTCCCAGTGCTTCAATGCCCATCTTTATGCAGTGGACTTCTGCACCAACACTCTGACAACTTGCTAGCCATCTCCATTAAGCAGATCCATCATTTGCTCACTCATGCTCTTGAGCACACAACCCTTAACCACTCATCTGCTTGCTGTCCTTACCTGCAAGACAGCTGGACGCACGGAAGCCACACTGAGTATGTCATCAATCTGCCGACTGTTGAAGTTGGACAGGCCCAGCGCTCGCACCAGCCCCTTAGCTACCAGTGCCTCCAGAGCCTTCCAAGTCTCCTTGTAGTGGGTGGAGTCATAGCGTATAGTCCCATCAGCATTCTTCGGGAAGGGATTGTCTCCCCGCCTGAGTGAGAGACAGCCCCACTAAGTGTGGACACAAATACCAGTTTTCTGCCCTGACTTCCCATCCAGCTACTCTATGTCCCCAACTCCAATCCCAGAGAGGACAAAGGGCCAAGAATTTTTAAAAAGCCATGCTTTTTCATCCTTCCAGATTGTAACCCAAGTGTTAAGTCTACATGGAATGCTTATGCCCCCTCCTCTTCCTAGATCCAGATATCTCCTCTCCTCTCGGAAGTCTTCCTTAACTCGTCCTCAGGGAGTTATCCACCCTTCCGCCCTTTTTCCAGCACAGGGCACAGCACTAATGGTGGGCTCTTCTCACATCCTCTGCTGAGACTTACTTATTACTGTAACTCTAGGTGCTCAACAGAAAGGTCAGCACCTTTCCTGCATGAATAAATGAGCAGGAGGGTTACAGGCATACATCCTAGGGTACATGCCATGTGAGGCTCTCTTCCTTTTTCTAGAGTTAAACTCCTGTAGTTCCACTAAGCTGCAGTAGCAGAAGAGGCTCAGATTCCATGTCAAGCTCCTCAGCTTGCCACACAGATGAGTGTTCCTATCCTGCTTTGCTGCTGTGACTTATAGTAAGTTACTAACACCATCCTGTTCCACCCCGATTCCCCAGATGAGGCTCTGGGAAGGCTCACTCGAAGGCATAAGGCCAGTGCATCAGGTACAGGTCCAGATATTCCAGCTGAAGGTCAGCCAGAGTCTTCCGGAGGGCAGGCTCCACATCTTTGGGGTGGTGTTTGGTGTTCCACAGCTTGGATGTCACAAAGAGCTCCTCTCGAGGCACTGCCTAGTGCAGGGTGCAGAGCCCACAGTGAGGAGAGCCACGAGCACCTGGTCTCACCCACCCTCAACTCTGAGAGAGGAACTGGAAGGAAGCTGATGCCAGATTCCCTCCAGCTGGGCCCCAGCCCCAGCTTCAGCTTCTGAGTTCTTTTATTCCACCTCTCTTGACAACTCCAGTCCTTACCTTGCCTGGTCCCACGTCCTCCTTCAGGGCTTCCCCAATCTCAGGCTCATTGCCGTAGATAGCAGCACAGTCAATGTGGCGGTAGCCTACACTAAGGGCATACTTAACAGCTGCTTTTACCTGCCAGGTGAAAGAAGCAGAGGTTTCAGCTTTGTTGGTTTCCGCATTCTAATGTCGCCACCCCAAGGTCAGTGTTGCAGGAGGTGGGTCAGAAATATAACAGGGCCCTCCATGCAGTGGAGGTGAAAGATGAAAGATGGATTGGACACGGTGGTTCATACCTGTAATCCCAGCACTTTGGGAGGCTGAGGCAGGCAGATCACCTGAGGTCAGGAGTTTGAAAACAGCCTGGCCAACTGGAAGTCAGCCTGACCAATCTGGTGAAACCCTGTCTCTACTAAAAATGCAAAATTAGCTGGGTGTGATGGCATGCGCCTGTAATCCCAGCTACTCGGGAGGCTAAGGCAAGAGAATTGCTTGAACCTAAGAGGTGGAAGTAGTAGTAAGCTGAGATCGTGCCACTGCAATCCGGCCTGGGCAATGAGAGCGAAATTCCACCTCAAAAAAAAAAAAAAGAAAAAAAAAGAAAAAGGAAGATGGTTTCAGTCTAAGAAACCAGAAGCCTGTTCAGAGGCCCCAAACCCTTTGCCCTGCCCCTACTCTAGTCAGTCTCTAAGATGCCTTCCTACTCAAGCCATCTCGGCAATGTCTAGCAAAAACTAATAATATTTTCCCACCATCTACCATAAACAGGGCTTTAGTAAATATTTTTTTCAGGCTGAGCACAGCGGCTCACACCTGTAATTCTAGCACTTTGGGAGGCCGACATGGGAAGACTGCTTGAGGCCAAGAGTTCAAGACCAACCTGGTCAACATAGCAAGACTCCACCTTTTTTTTTTTTTTTTTTTTTTTTTCTGAGACGGAGTTTCGCTCTTGTTACCCAGGCTGGAGTGCAATGGCATGATCTCGGCTCACTGCAACCTCTGCCTCCTGGGTTCAGGCAATTCTCCTGCCTCAGCCTCCTGAGTAGCTGGGATTATAGGCATGCGCCACCATGCCCAGCTAATTTTTTTCTCCACCTTTTTTTAAAAAAAAATTAAGGCCAGGCATGGTGGCTCATGCCTATAATCCCAGCACTTTGGGAGGCAGAGACAGGTGGATCTCCTGAGGCCAGAAGTTCAAGACCAGGCTGACCAACATGGTGAAACCCTGTCTCTATTAAAAATGCAAAAATTAGGCAGATATAATGGCAGGCACCTGTAATCCCAGCTACTCATGAGGCTGAGGCAGGAGAATCACTTGAACCCGGAAGGTGGAGGTTACAGTAAGCCGAGATCATGCCATTGTACTCCAGCCTGGAGGACAAGAGCGAGACTTTGTCTCAAACAAACAAAAAATTTTTTTAAAAATTAAAAAAAATTTTTCAATCAGAAAACAGATGGATAAATAGACAGAAAAAAAGAAGTATAGGCCAGGCGCTGTGGCTCACACTTGTAATCCCAGCACTTTGGGAGGCTGAGGCAGGTGGATCACAAGGTCAGGAGTTCAAGATCAGCCTGACCAATATGGTGAAACCCTGTCTCAACTAAAAATACAAAAATTAGTTGAGCATGGTGGCGCACGCCTGTAATGCCAGCTACTCACTCAGGAAACTGAGGCAGGAGAATTGCTTGAACCTAGGAGGCTGAAGTTGCAGTGAGCTGAGATCACGCTACTGCACTCCAGCCCGGGCAACAGAGCAAGACTCTGTCTAAAAAAAAAAAAAAAGGCTGGGTGCGGTGGCTCACGCCTGTAATCCCAGCACTTTGGGAGGCCGAGGCAGGTGGATCACAAGGTCAAGAGATCGAGACCATCCTGGTCAACATGGTGAAACCCCATCTCTACTAAAAATACAAAACATTAGCTGGGCATGGTGGCGCGTGCCTGTAATCCCAGCTACTCAGGAGGCTGAGGCAGGAGAATCGCCTGAACCCAAGAGGCGGAGGTTGCGGTGAGCCGAGATCGTGCCATTGCACTCCAGCCTGGGTAACAAGAGCGAAACTCCATCTCAAAAAAAAAAAAAGAAAAGTAAAAATTTGCCAGGCGCGGTGGCTCAAGCCTGTAATCCCAGCACTTTGGGAGGCCGAGGCGGGTGGATCACGAGGTCAAGAGATCGAGACCATCCTGGTCAACATGGTGAAACCCCGTCTCTACTAAAAATACAAAGCATTAGCTGGGCATGGTGGCGCGTGCCTGTAATCCCAGCTACTCAGGAGGCTGAGGCAGGAGAATTGCCTGAACTCAGGAGGCGGAGGTTGCGGTGAGCTGAGATCGTGCCATTGCACTCCAGCCTGGGTAACAAGAGCGAAACTCCGTCTCAAAAAAAAAAAAAAAAAAAAAAAGAAAGAAGTATAGAACATGGAAATGAGTTCCAAGTTCTAAGGAGCTGGTTAGAGAAACTTAAGAAAAAAATTCCTAGGCCAAGGCCACACAGGGAAAGACCCTCAGGGATTCATGTAGACAGACTCTGGGAGTTCTGGGAGCTCAGGCTAGCAAGGGGGTGAGAAGGGGGAAAAGATTAAGGAAGGCAGATAAGTGGGCTGGAAGCTGGACCCAGAACCCCCTAATGATAGAGAAGAAAACAGGCGTCAAGTAGAATGATAGGTCAGTTAATTTTGCTAAAATCCAGACTGGAAACATGGCATCAGCAGCAGAACTAAAGCACCCAAAGCTCTTGTTGTGGATGCCTGGCATAGCATTCAAGATCCCCACCTGGGTGCAGATGTACTTCCCTTAATATCTAACCCCTGCTGTTCCATGCCCCACCTTGGCCCTGGCTCTGGCTCCCACCCCTGCCTTGACCTAGGTCCTAGACTTATCCCAGGCTGTGTCAAGTGCCTGCCTGAAGCACAGGGAACCTGACTCCAGGCTCCTAGGCAGCTATAGGAAAGAAAGCAAAAGGGAAAAAAGGCACATGTCATCCAAGCACACCACAAATACCAGTCTAAATCCCAGACAGAAGAATCTGTCCTCTGCTGGGGCTTCTCTCAAACTTAATCCCCAGACTTCTCTTCACTCTGACTCAAGATTTCCAAGGAAGAAGGAAAAAGCCCTGGGGAAATGCCCCATTCCAGGCAGGAGCCATATCTCATAGCTACATCCATGCTAAGAAAGCAGGTCTACAGTAGGATGTGGTGGCGAGAGGCCAAGGCGGGCAGATCACAAGGTCAGGAGATCAAGATCATCCTGGCTAACACGGTGAAACCCCGTCTCTAATAAAAATACAATAAATTAGCCAGTTGTGGTGGCACATGCCTGTAGTCCCAGCTACTAGGGAGGCTGAGGCAGGAGAATCACTTGAACCTGGGAGGCAGAGGTTGTAGTGAGCCAAGATCGCACAACTGTGCTCCAGCCTGGGCTACAGAGCGAGACTCCATCTCAATAAAAAAAAAAAAAGAAAGAAAGAAGAACGCAGGTCTACATTCCCAGACTCCCATCAGCTAAAAAGGTCTACACCAGGAGTCAATCAATTATCAACTTTTTTCTTTTCTTTTTTTTTTTTTTTTTTTTTTTTGAGACGGAGTTTCGCTCTCGTTACCCAGGCTGGAGTGCAATGGCGCGAACTTGGCTCACCGCAACCTCTGCCTCCTGGGCTCAGGCAATTCTCCTGCCTCAGCCTCCTAAGTAGCTGGGATTACAGGCACGCGCCACCACGCCCAGCTAGTTTTTTGTATTTTTAGTAGAGACGGGGTTTCACTATGTTGACCAGGATGGTCTCGATCTCTCGACCTCGTGATCCACCCGCCTCGGCCTCCCAAAGTGCTGGGACTACAGGCTGAGCCACCGCGCCCGGCCTTCTTTTCTTTTTTTTTTTTTTTTTTTTGAGACGGAGTTTCGCTCTTGTTACCCAGGCTGGAGTGCAATGGCGTGATCTCGGCTCACCGCAACCTCCACCTCCTGGGTTCAGGCAATTCTCCTGCCTCAGCCTCCGGAGTAGCTGGGATTACAGGCACGCGCCACCATGCCCAGCTAATTTTTAGTAGAGACGGGGTTTCACCATGTTGACCAGGATGGTCTCGATCTCTTGACCTCGTGATCCACCCGCCTCGGCCTCCCAAAGTGGTGGGATTACAGGCGTGAGCCACCGCGTCGGCCTACCTTTTTTTTTTCCAAGACAGAATCTTGCTCTGTTGCCCAAGCTGGAGTGTAGTGCCATGATATTGGCTCACTGCAACCTCTGCCTCCTGGGTTCAAGTGATTCTCCTGCCTCAGTCTCCTGAGTAGCTGGGATTATAGGTGCATGTCACCACACCACGATATTTTGTATTTTTAGTAGAGACGGGGTTTCACCATGTTGGCCAGGCTGGTCTTGAACTCCTGACCTTGTGATCTACCTGCCTCTGCCTCCCAAAGTGCTGGGATTACAGATGTGAGCCACTGTGCCCAGACCACTTTTTTTTTTTTTAAGATGATCTCGCTCTGTTGCCAAGGCTAGAGTACAGTGGCATGATCATAGGTCACTGCAGCCTTGACTTCCCAGGCTTAAGCAATCCTTCTACCTCAGACCTCTCAAGTAGTTGGAACCACAGGCATGTTCTCATTGTTTAAATTTTTGTAAAGACAGGGTCTCAATATGTTGCCCAGTCTGATCTCAAATTCCTGAGCTCAAGCCATCTTCCTGCCTCAGCCTCCCAATGTGCTGGGATTACAGGCATCAGCTACCACACTCGACCCCATCTTGTTCTTTAGAAAAAAGTTAGTGGCCAGGGGTGGTGGCTCACCCCTGTAATCCCAGCACTTTGGGAGGCCAAAGCAGATAGATCACCTGTGGTAATCACTTGTCAACATGGTGAAACCCCATCTCTACTAAAAATACAAAAATTAGCCAGGCGTGGTGGCTCATGACTGTAGTCCCAGCTACTTGGGACACTGAGGCACAAGATCACCTGAACCCAGGAGGCAGAGGTTGCAGTGAGCGGAGATCACACCACTGCACTCCAGCCTGGGCAAGAGTGAGACTCAGTCTCAAAAAAAAAGTTTGCTGGCTGGGCATGGTGGCTCACACCTGTAATCCCAGCACTTTGGGAGGCTGAGGCAGGTGAATCACGAGGTCAGGAGTTCGAGACCAGCCTGGCCAATATGGCAAAACTCTGAGTCTACTAAAAATACAAAAAATAGCTAGGCATAGTGGCACATGCCTGTAGTTCCAGCACGTGGGAGGCTGAGGCAGAAGAATTGCTTGAACCCAGGAGGCGGACGTTGCACTGAGCCAAGATCATGCCACTGCACTCTAGCCTGGGCCACAGAGTGAGACTCTGTCTCAAAAAAAAAAAAAAAAAAAAAAAGTTTGCTGGGCCTGTATGTTAGTGTATGCCAGTTGCCCAAGCTACTTAGGAGGCTGAGGTGGGAGGATCACTTGAGTTCAGGAGGTCAAAGCTGCCATGAGCCAAGATTATGCCACTGAACTCCAGCCTGGGCGACAGAGCAAGACCCTGTCTCAAGAAGAAAAAAAAAAAAGCTTGCTGACCTTTGGTTTATACAATTCACCCAGTTCTTCTTCAAATCTTGACATCTGCTTTGTGCCTAATTCTGGACTGAGCAGTACAGAAAGGCCCAGCCCTCAAAGAGCCCAGTGTGGGAGAGGAGACATGATCACAGCACAGGGTAATAACTGCCATATTAGGGGTCATAGCACAGGAATGGTCACAGAGGGGCCCCATGTCTGCCACAGCACTCAGTGCAGATCCAGTTAGAGAAAGATGTCCTTCCGATGGCCCTGGCCCTGCTGGGCCCCTCAGCCCACTCTGAGTCAGCTGGAGAAGTCCAGGGTGTATAACTGTACTCTTGTCTTATCTCTTCCCATTGCTCTCCAGGGTCATCCCTACTGGAAGGGCAGTATGGGGCTGGAGCTGCTAGAAAAATGCAGGCAGAGGCTCCACAAGTTTTTTTTTCTTCTCCCATCCCTCACCTGACCAGGCTCACTCTTCCAGGTACCCAGACCAATCAGGGGCATCTTCTGCCCAGTGTGCAGGAGAACACAGGAAACCGCCATTGCCCTCTGAAACACAGATGGGAAGAGAATGGTGTAGGGGTTAGTGCTGTTGTTCAGGTCTCAGATATCCACTCTCAAGAATACTGTAAAGCAGCCAGATGCAGTGGCTCACACCTGTAATCCCAGCACTTTGGGAGGCTGAGGCAGGCAGATCACCAGAGGTCAAGAGTTCAAGACCAGCTGGGCCAACATGGTGAAACCCCATCTCTACTAAAAATACAAAAATTAGCTGGGCATGGTGGTGCATACCTGTAGTCCAAGCTACTGGGGAGTCTGAAGCACAAGAATCGCTTGAACCCAGGAGGCGGAGGTTGCAGTGAGCCAAGATCACATCACTGCACTCGAGCCTGGGCAACAGAGTAAGACTCTGTCTCAAAAAGAATACTACTGCAAAACATGGGCCAGGAAGGGGTGGGAAGAGGGGACAGATGTGGAGGACAAACACGTGGTTATGTATGTGCCTGTGAGCAAAGGCAGTAGAGACAGGGTGCCCAAAACCAACCATGGCCAGTAAGTCCTGGACGAACACTAACCAGACCACCAGCCTGGCTGCCCTTCTTTGTGCCAAGCTACAGATCTCTGTTAAAGACCTGTACTATCAGGGCAGGCGCGGTGGCTTATGCCTGTAATCCCAGCACCTAGGAAGCCAAGGTGGGCAGATCACCTGAGATCAGGAGTTTGAGACCAGCCTGACCAACAGGGAGAAACCCCATCTCTACTAAAAAAATACAAAATTGGATGGGCGTGGTGGTGCATGCCTGTAATCCCAGCTATTTGGGAGGCTGAGGCAGGAGAATAGCTTGAACCGAGGAGGGGGAGGTTGTAGTGAGCCAAGACGGCACTCCAGCTTGGGCAACAAGAATGAGACTCTGTCTCAAAAAACAAAACAAAACAAAACAAAAAACAAACTGCATTATCTAAAAACGAAAGCAGAGTGGCCACACCAAAGTACCCAGTCTTGACTTAATAAGGTCTCAAGCCAGTGTAAGGCAGACAAAGACCATTATGAAAGAAAGTGAGACCAGGTAATTGAATAGGCCCAGGAGGGGGGCCACTTCTCTGAGAATGAAATGAATGTTCCCAGGAGGTTGTCAGAACTACAGAGATTCTCTAAGTACCTCTCACAGAGGTCTGATCAGCCATGCTGGTAGGTCTGAGTGGGCTCCTACAGGGAAGGTATATCTTTTTCTCCTCTAGAGTCAGGGTCTTTTCCTGTCTCCTAGGTTGGAGTAGAGTGGTGTGATCATGGCTCATTGCATCCTTGAACTCCTAAACTCAAGTGATATTCCTGCCTCAGCCTTCCAGGTAGCTGCGACTATATGCCTATGCCACCAAAACTGGATTTTTTTTTTTTTTTTGGAGATGGAGTCTCCCTCTGTTGCCCAGGCTGGAGTGTGGAGTGTCACAATCTCGGCTCACTGTAAGCTCCACCTCCCCAATTCTAGCAATTCTTCCTCAGCCCCCCTAGTAGCTGGTACTACAGGTGCATGCCTCTACGCCCAGCTAATTTTTTTATGTTTTAGTACAGATAGGGTTTTACCATATTGTCCAGGCTGGTCTTGAACTCCTGAGTTCAGGCAATCCACCTGCCTCGGCCTCCCAAAGTGCTAGGGATTACAGGTGTGAGCCCCCAAGCCCAGCCAATAGGATGTTTTAAAATTTTTTTAGAGATGAGGTATGGCTAGGTTGCCCAGGCTAGTCTTGAACTTCTGGCCTTAGGCTATCCAAGTACTTCAGTACCCTGAGTCTCTCAGATTACAGGTATGAGCCACCATGTCCAGATCTTTAATTTTTTAGATGAGAAAATAGACTCAAAGAAGTGAAGTTAGGCTGGGTGCAGTGGCAAATGCCTGTAATACCAGTATGTAAGGAGGCCAAGGCAGACAGATCACTTGAGGTTAGGAGTTAGAGACCAGCCTGGCCAACATGGTGAAACTCTGTTTCTACCAAAAAATACAAAAATTAACTGGGTGTAGTTGTATGCGCCTATAGTCCCAGCTATTCTGGAGGCTGAGGTGGGAGAATTGTTTGAACATGGGAGGCGGAGGTTGCAGTGAGCCAAAATTGTGCCACTATACTCCAGTCAGGGTGTCAGAGTGAGACTCCAGCTCAAAAAAAAAAGTGAAACTGAAGTTATTTGCTCCAAATCTACAGCTAAGAAGCGGCAAAACCAAGGATCTAAGGAGGAGCTAATGGAGAAAAGGCAAATAAACACAAACCTATAAGAAGATATGCACTACGCCTCACAATAGAAACATGTATGATGTGCTACAGAAAAGGGCAAGGACAAAGAAACATTGACATTGGCTTTTAAGAATTCCCAACAGCTGCCGGGCGCGGTGGCTCAAGCCTGTAATCCCAGCACTTTGGGAGGCCGAGGCGGGTGGATCACGAGGTCAAGAGATCGAGACCATCCCGGTCAACACAGTGAAACCCCGTCTCTACTAAAAATACAAAAAATTAGCTGGGCATGGTGGCACGTGCCTGTAATCCCAGCTACTCAGGAGGCTGAGGCAGGAGAATTGCCTGAACCCAGGAGGCGGAGGTTGCGGTGAGCCGAGATCGCGCCATTGCATTCCAGCCTGGGTAACAAGAGCGAAACTCCGTCTCAAAAAAAAAAAAAAAAAAAAGAATTCCCAACAGTCAGCCGGGCGCGGTGGCTCAAGCCTGTAATCCCAGCACTTTGGGAGGCCAAGGCGGGTGGGTCACGAGGTCAAGAGATCGAGACCATACTGGTCAACAAGGTGAAACCCCGTCTCTACTCAAAATACAAAAAATTAGCTGGGCATGGTGGCACATGCCTGTAATCCCAGCTACTCAGGAGGCTGAGGAAGGAGAATTGCCTGAACCCCACGAGGCGGAGGTTGTGGTGAGCCGAGATCACGCCATTGCACTCCAGCCTGGGTAACAAGAGTGAAACTCCGTCTCAAAAAAAAAAAAAGAATTCCCAACAGTCAAGAAGAAGAAGTCTTTCCAGGAAGGAGAAACTATATACATGACTTCAGTATAGCAGAAAAATGACAAATTAGACAGAAGTAAATTTCCTTTCTTTTTTTTTTTTTTTTTTTTTTTTTTTTTTAATAAAGACAGGGTTTCACCATGTTGGTCAGGCTGGTCTCGAACTCCTGACCACAGGTGATCTGGCCACCTTGGCCTCCTTAGTGCTTGGATTACAGGTGTGAGCCACCACACCCGGCCGATACAAGTAAATTTCCAACCAAGCAAAGCAGGTAACTAGAGCCTCCCCCTCTGGAGAGTTATGAAAATAGGGGCCGGGCGCGGTGGCTCAAGCCTGTAATCCCAGCACTTTGGGAGGCCGAGGCGGGTGGATCACGAGGTCAAGAGATCGAGACCATTCTGGTCAACATAGTGAAACCCCGTCTCTACTAAAAATACAAAAATTAGCTGGGCATGGTGGCCTGTGCCTGTAATCCCAGCTACTCAGGAGGCTGAGGCAGGAGAATTGCCTGAACCCAGGAGGCGGAGGTTGCGGTGAGCCGAGATCGCGCCATTGCACTCCAGCCTGGGTAACAAGAGCGAAACTCCGTCTCAAAAAAAAAAAAAAAAAAAAAAAAAAAAAAAAAAAAAAAAAAAAAAAAAAAAAAAAAAAAAAAAAAGAAAATAGGAAGTCTCCAAATGGCCCAAAAATGCTCATTTAGTCAGTAAATTGAATGTTCTAATTTTGTGTTAAACCCAAGAGACAGGGCCGGGCGCGGTGGCTCAAGCCTGTAATCCCAGCACTTTGGGAGGCTGAGGTGGGTGGATCACGAGGTCAAGAGATCGAGACCATCCTGGTCAACATGGTGAAACCCCATCTCTACTAAAAATACAAAACATTAGCTGGGCATGGTGGTGCGTGCCTGTAATCCCAGCTACTCAGGAGGCTGAGGCAGAAGAATTGCCTGAACCCAGGAGGCGGAGGTTGCGGTGAGCCGAGATCGCGCCATTGCACTCCAGCCTGGGTAACAAGAGCGAAACTCTGTCTCAAAAAAAAAAAAAAAAAAAAAAAAAAAAAAAAAAACCCAAGAGACAAACATATTGAAATAGGGTCCCTGCCTTCTTTCAGTTTATGGTCTTGTAATGGAAACAGATGATATTAGTACATTGTGATTAAGAGATTTGATCAAACTCTGCACAAAAGCTGCACAAGAATGGCAAGAAAAGAGTAACCTTGCTAGGATGGCTTCTTGGAGGCCATTTCTTCCTGAGTCAAGTCCTAAAGAATAAATGAACAGGAGTTATCCAAGTGAAAGAGAAAGGAGAGAAAATGTTCATGCAAACAGCCAATAAGATAGATACAACCTTTTCCCTTGATCTCATCAGCACCATGAATATCATTCTTGGGACTGATTTAATTGCCAATAATATCTTTATAAATATAATTTTAGTTTCTAGGATCTAAAAGGATATAGGATAGAGTAAGTAATAAGACAAGTTGTGGCCGGGCGCAGTGGCTCATGCCTGGGAGGCTGAGGCAGGCGGATCACAAAGTCAGGAGTTTGAAACCAGCCTGACCAATATGGTAAAACCCCATCTTTTGGCCGGGCACGGTGGCTTAAGCCTGTAATCCCAGCACTTTGGGAGGCCGAGGCGGGTGGATCACAAGGTCAAGAGATCGAGACCATCCTGGTCAACATGGTGAAACCCCGTCTCTACTAAAAATACAAAAAATTAGCTGGGCATGGTGACGCGTGCCTGTAATCCCAGCTACTCAGGAGGCTGAGGCAGGAGAATTGCTTGAACCCAGGAGGCGGAGGTTGCGGTGAGCCGAGATCGCGCCATTGCACTCCAGCCTGGGTAACAAGAGTGAAACTCCGTCTCAAAAAAAAAAGAACCCCATCTGTAATAAAAACACAAAAATTAGCCGGGTGCATGGTGGCACATGCCTGTAGTCCCAGCTACTCGGGAGGCTGAGGCAGGAGAACTGCTGGAACCTGGGAGGCGGAGGTTTCAGTGAGCCGAGATCGCATCACTGCACTCCAGTTTGGGTAAAAGCGCAAGACTCTGTCTATTAAAAAAAAAAAAAAAAAAAAATCAGCCAGTTGTGGTGGTGCTCATCTGTAATCCCAGCTGCTACTCAGGAGCCTGAGGCCAGAGAATCGCCCAAACCCAGGAGGTCGAGGCTGCAGTGAGCTGAGACCATGTCACTGCACTCCAGTCTGGGAGACAGAGCGAGACCCTGTCTCAAAGAAGACAAGTTAATCTGGACACAGTGGCTCACGTCTGTAATCCCAGCACTGTGGGAGGCTGAGGCAGGTGGATCACTTGAGATCAGAAGTTTGAGAACAGTCTAGCCAACATAGTGAAACCCCATCTCTACTAAAAATACCAAAATTAGCCAGGCATGGTGGTGCATGCCTGTAATCCCAGCTACTTGGGAGGCTGAGGCAGAATTGCTTGAGCCCATAAGGCAGAGGTTGCAGTGAGCTGAGATCACACCACTGCACTACAGCCTGGGCTACAGAGTGAGACTCCATCTCAAGAAAAAAAAAAAAGAAAAGAAAAAAAAGCCAAGTTGTGAGTAAAGCCAATACACCAACACTGTCTTTCCTGATACTTCTGACCCAGGAATTTTTATTTTTTTTTTGACATGTTGTTAGGCTATTGTTGCCCAGGCTGGAGTGCAGTGGCAGGATCTCAGCTCACTGCAACCTCCTGGGTTCAAGTGATTCTCCTGCCTCAGCCTCCCGAGTAGCTGGGATTACAGACACGTGCTACCACACCAGGCTAATTTTGTATTTTTAGTAGAGACGAGGTTGGGCTCGAACTCCCAACCTCAGGTGATCTGCCTGCCTCCACCACCCAAAGTGCTGGGATTATAGGCGTGAGCCACTACATCCAGCCAAGAATTTCATAGTGTAGTATAACTTGATTGGAAACCACTCTTTTCTGCTAAAACAAAATCAAAACTGTTCAATCTGAGCATCTCTTTATAATCAAACTTCTCAGGGACACAAATTTCTTTTTTTTTTCTTTTTTTAGAAACAGGGTTTCTCTATGTTGGCCAGGCCGGTCTCGAACTCCTGACCTCAGGTGATCCACCCGCCTTGGCCTCCCAAAGTGCTGGGATTACAGGCATGAGCCACTGTGCCTGGCCAAGGACACAAATTTCTAAGGAATCAAGCAAGCAAGTCTGGAGTTGACAAGAGGAACCTGGTGGCCTGCTGCCACCAAGGTCTAAGGCTGGTTTCCTGGGCTTAATGCCCAATGACCTGTTGGCCTCTCACAGATTACCCACCACACATGAGAAGGTTCTGAAATTACACCTGGGGTGGGAGCTTCAACAACACCCTGGGTGAAGCAGAAAAGGAAGAAGAAACCTGAATCTTGCTTCTCCCTTTCTTTTGCTGGTGAAACTGAACACCAAAAGGGATGAGGCTTGGGGGACAGGGGTAAAAGAGGTAGGAGGAGATCTGCAAAGAACAAGAGCTTCCTAAGAATGAAGGTGCCACATAGATGTTTTTCTTTAGGACAGAAAGTCATCCTCAGCCAGCTCTTGACTTCCTCATCTTCTGCTTAATACTAGTGCTTTCCAGACTAGCCATGCATTAATAGATTCCAGATTCTGAGCTTGTCATGAACTACCTACCTGGACCTCTGGCAGCATTCAAAAACTCTCATGATATCTTTTTTTTTTTTTTTTTTGAGATGGAGTTTCGCTTGTCGCCCAGGCGGGAGTGCAATGGCGTGATCTTGGCTCACTGCAACCTCCCACTCCCAGGTTCAAGTGATTCTCCTGCCTCAGCATCCCAAGTAGCTGGCATTGCAGGCGTACGCCACCACAACCGGCTAATTTTTGTGGTTTTATTTATTTTTTTTTTTTTGAGACAGAGTCGCACTCTGTCACAAGGCTGGAGTGCAGTGGCATGATCTCAGCTCACTGCAATCTCCCCCTCCTGGGTTCAGGCAATTTGTGTCTTCAATTATCACCTTAAGCTTTGATTCTTCCCACCCCAGTTCTGTATATTCAGTGCCCTCTGGACCTCTCCACTAGTATGTTCCACAGGCACCTGAGATTCACCATGTCCAACACTGTACTCATCAAATCCAGTAGTAGAGTGCAGAGGAAACAGTTAAGGCTATTTGACACTTAGTTCTGATATTTCAAGAGATACTATATCTAAAGCACCTTGCACAAGGCCTGACCCATGCTTTTCTTTCTGTATATTCATCCCATGCTCTTCTTTCTGTATACTCATCCCTTGGTATCCACAGGAGACTGGTTCCAAGACCCCTTTAGATATCAAGATCCTGGGATGCTCCAGTCCCTTATATAAAATGGGACAGTATTTGCATATAACCCAAGTACATGTTCCTGTACATTTTAAATCAGGCGTCCCCAAACTACGGCCCGCGGGCCGCATGCAGCCCCCTGAGGCCATTTATCCGGTCCCCCGCCACACTTCAGGAAGAGGCACCTCTTTCATTGGTGGTCAGTGAAAGGAGCACAGTATGTGGCGGCCCTCCAACGGTCTGAAGGACAGTGAACTGGCCCCCTGTGTAAAAAGTTTGGGGACGCCTGTTTTAAATCATCTCTAGAATACTTATAATTCCTAATACAGTATAAATGCTAAATGCTAGGTAAATAGGTGTTATACTGTATTTTTTTTTTTTTTGAAACATAGTTTTGCTCTTGTTGCCCAGGTTGGAATGCAATGGCATGATCTCAGCTCACAGCAACCTCTGGTTCCCGGTTGAAGTGATTCTCCTGCCTCAGCCTCCCACGTAGCTGGGATTACAGGCATGTGCAACCAGGTCCGGTTAATTTTGTATTTTTAGTAGAGATGGGGTTTTTCCATGTTGGTCAGTCTGGTCTTGAACTCCCAACCTCAGGTGATCCACCTGCCTCAGCCTCCCAAAGTGCTGAAATTATAGGCGTGAGCCACTAGGCCCAGCATATATTGTATTTTTTTTTTTAGACTCACTCTGTCACTAGGCTGGAGTGCAGTGGCACCATCTTGGCTCACTGCAACCTTCAACTCCCTGGTTCAAGCGATTCTCCTGCCTTAGCCTCCCAAGTAGCTGGGATTACAGGTACAAACTACCACATCCAGCTAATTTTTGTAGTTTTAGCAGAGACAGGGTTTCCATGTTGGCCAGTATGGTCTTGATCTCTTGACCTTGTGATCCAACCGCATCAGCCTCCCAAAATGCTGGGATTACAGGTGTGAGCCACTGCACCCAGCGTTTTTTTTTTTTTTTTTTTGAGACCAAGTCTTGCTGTTGCCCAGACTAGAGTGCAGTGGCATGATCTTGGCTCACTGCAACCTCTGCCTCCTGGGTTCAAGTGATTCTCCTGCGTCAGACTCCTGAGTAGCTAGGATTACAGGTGTGTGCTACCACACCCAGCTGCTTTTTGTATTTTTAGTAGAGACAGGGTTTTGCCATGTTGGCCAGGCTAGTCTGGAACTCCTGACCTCAGGTGATCTGCCTGCCTTCGCCTCCCAAAGTGCTAGGATTACAGGCATGACCCACTGTGCCCAGCTGACCATTACTGTTTACTTAAACCACAGATCTTGGCTTCTAATGTGGTTCCTCTTCCCACAGTCCATCACCAGATCCAACCATGTGACTCCCGCTCTCAAACCCTTCTAGGAGTTCTCCCCTGGATTCAGGATAAATTCCAGGCTCCTCGAAACCTGTGTCCTATCTTCTTCATTTCACCACCTCCTCATGATAGACTGTATTCCAGACTCTGAACCCTCAACAGGGTTGCACCACTTACCTGACTCTAGGTGTCCGCACACTTTCCTTCCCCAAACCCTTCCTTTGCCTGGTTAACTACTGCTCATCCTTAAGCTAGCACTTTACATTTCTGGCTCCTTTCCAGGTGCAGTGGCTTATACATGTAATCTCAGCACCTGGGCAGGCTGAGGCAGGAGGATCACTTGAAACCTGGGCAACAAAGGGAGAAACTGTCTCTACAAAAATAAATAAATAAATAAATTCTTTGAGTCTGCTTGTTAGGCAGATTTTTTTTTTTTTTAATTTTTAAAAATTAACTGGGCACAGTGGCATGTGCTTCTAGTCCAAAGGGAGGCTGAGAGGGCAAGACCACTTGAACCCAGAAGTTTTAGTCTGCAATGAGCAAGGATTCAGCCTGGGCAACAGAGCGAGAAACCCCCATCCATCTCTGAAAAGAAAATAAATAAATAAATGGATGGCTACCTCCATGTACTGATAGCATGTGCACATCACTGCATTTTTCTGTTTATATATAAATTTACCCCACAAACCCGGCTACTCCTTGAGGTCTGAGCTGTCACCTGCCTGAACCCCTCACTCCTAGAGTATCTGTCCCATACAAACATATACACATACAATGTACACACACACACAGACACACACACACACACACACACACACACACACACACGGCTAATGGGGGAAGAGATCTTGACAAGTGGAGTTTTTCTTTTTTTTGAGACGGAGTTTCGCTCTTGTTACCCAGGCTGGAGTGCAATGGCGCGATCTCGGCTCACCGCAACCTCCGCCTCCTGGATTCAGGCAATTCTCGTGCCTCAGCCTCCTGAGTAGCTGGGATTACAGGCATGCGCCACCATGCCCAGCTAATTTTTTGTATTTTTAGTAGAGACGGGGTTTCACCACGTTGACCAGGATGGTCTCGATCTCTTGACTTCATGATCCACCCGCCTTGGCCTCCCAAAGTGCTGGGATTACAGGCTTGAGCCACCGCGCCCGGCCTGACAGGTGGAGTTTGACCAGCTGGAAGGACATTTGAGGAAGTCACTGCCTCTGTCACCCTCTTCCTTTACTTCTTGGAAAACTTGGAAATAATCCTCTTGGAGAATATAAAAGCACTTTACTATATTCGGCAAAAAAATCCCAATGGACCAGATAGAATCATACTGAGATTGCTCCTTTATTACAGATAAGGAAACAAACCTTGGAAAAGTAACAGACCCGCAGCCCTGAATATGAACGATCTGAAGAGGAAGAGTTAATTAACAGTAGCCTCATCCAGTGAAGGTTCTGATCTGTGTCTCACTTTAACAGAGTCCTGGGGCAACAGAATAACGTGTCGGAGTTTCTCAGACCCAAGGCAATTTTATCCTCACTTCTGGCCACTGCTGAGAGGCATCCCTGCACCTGCATAAGAAAGCCCGAGCGTCTGGAAAAAGGACGTAGATGAGCAAACAAAAAGATGGCAATTAAAACTTATAAATCACCTAGCATGCGCTGTGTGCCTTCAAAGGTTTATCTCAGTTCTTGCTACAGCTCTAATGTAGGAACTCATTTTATCGGTGAGGAAACTGAGGTTCAGAGAAACTGGTAAGTTAGCCAAGATCATACAGAGAAAAACAGGAGCTCAAATCGGAAACCAACTCTCGTCCCCTCCAGTGCCTTGCGCTCTTCGCTCAACCCCACGGGCTGACATCTCAGTAGTAAAGGATCGAGGCTATCTTCTCCAGGAGAAAGATGGGCTAGCAGCAGGAGAAACTCACCTTGGCACAAGCGCAGAGCGTGAACAGGATCGTGTGGCCTGGGCTCAGTTCTACACCCTGCCAGAGAGCCAACAGGCCTCAGCTTAAGTCTGGCGGTGATGAGGCAGCTCCACCCGGAGGGAGGGGCAGGGGGCGGGCATCCAGGATCACGCGCAGGGTGTACCTCCTTCCCCGCCTCCATAGGAAGGACCTGAAGCGGATGGAAGCCAGAGCGGGGAAGTAGTGCCGTCTTCACCTCTGGATCCTCGAGGTCGAACTGGCCGGAACAGGGTCACTCACTCCGCCGCGTGGGTCTGGAGAACTTCTTAGCGTAATGAGGCAGGGGGCGCTGGCCTCGCGGGCGGTCCGGAGGGCGGGGCCAGCCGCGCCTCTTGCTGGCCCACATTGCACCGCGCGCCTGGGCGCAATTGCTGGCGCTTTTCCGGGGGAAGTAGAGTCGCAGATGCCACGTTGCAGGTTCTGGCTTCCGACCTCCGGATCCACAATGCCATCCCTGGCTCCATACTCTCCCTAAAGTCATGTTGGCTGGATTCCCAAAGTTCACCTAAGTTGGCCGCTTTACATTTAGTTAAAGCAAACAGGCCCAGAGAGCAGCTGCAACCTGAAGGTTGGCCAGAATAGAGAACACGTCGGGTCTACAGATCCAGACGCTGGAAAGTGCCTGGGTCCCCCTTCTGTCTGGACCATGGACCCGTGCAGCACGTTATGTGCCAGGCCCTGTGCTTAACACTTAATATGATCTTATCGAATCTTCACAATAACACTGGAAAAGGAATATTATTTTATTCCGTACAAGCCTTTTAAAATGGTAGTATAGCATACATACAGAAAATACACAAATCTTTTTTTTTTTCTATTCTACATCCAGGAGGAAAGAAAATGTACAAATCTTAAATGTATACAGTTCTATTACTGTTATTTTTTGCAATGTAACTGCCATCGAGATGAAGATATAGATATTACCAGCACGCCGTAAACCTGTGAGGAAAGTATTCGTGATCTGTTTTACAGATTGGACAGTCTCAGCAAGGATAAAGCTATTTATAATTTTCCCAAAGTCACACAGGTATTAATTAAATGACAGATCTGAGATTTGAAATCGCCTGTGCTGTTTGAATGGAGAGGTCTTGCATTTATGTGTTTTCCTTGGCAGGAATGGGCAAGATGCCGGGTTACCTCAGTTTGGCTCTGCTTTTCCCCACACCTTTGCTCCCCCAGTGCCACGCTTCCCATTTCCCCACCCCCATTATCCCCTACTGTCTCCCCCAAATAAGTGATGTCCTGGTGGACCAAATGTCTAACCTATTACGCCATTCTCATGAAAACACTCAGACTTGGCAGTTGCTCACGCCTGTATTCCCAGCACTTTGGGTGGCTGAGGTGAGTGGATCACCTTAGGTCAGGAGTTTGAGACCAGCCTGAACAATATGGAGAAACCCCATCTCTACTAAAAATACAAAATTAGCCAGGCATGGTGATGCATGCCTGTAATCCCAGTTACTTGGGAGGCTGAGGCAGGAGAATTGCTTGAACCTGGGAGGCGGAGGTTGCCTTAAGCTGATATTGCACCATTGAATTCCAGCCCGGGCAACAAGCATGAAACTCTGTCTCAAAACAAACAAACAAACAAACAAAACCACTCAGACTCTGGCTGGTCGTGGTGGCTCAGCCTGTAATCCCAGCATTTTGGCGATCCTAGGCAGGAGGACTGCTTTAGTCCAGGAGTTGTTGTCCAGCCTGGGCAACATAGCAAGATCCTGTCTGTGCCAAAAAAAAAAAAAAAAAAAAAAAAAAAAAAAAAAGAAAGAAAAAGCAAGGCATGGTGGTGTGTGCCTGTGGTCCCAACTACTCAGGAGGCTGAGGTGGGAGGATCACTTGAGTCTGAGCGTCCCCATTGAGCTGTCCACAATAGTGCCACTGCACTCCAGCCTGGGTGACAGAATCAGACCTTGTCTCAAGGAAAAAAAAAAAAAGAGGCTGGGCGCGGTGGCTCAAGCCTGTAATCCCAGCACTTTGGGAGGCTGAGGTGGGTGGATCACGAGGTCAAGAGATCGAGACCATCCTGGTCAACATGGTGAAACCCCGTCTCTACTAAAAATACAAAAAATTAGCTGGGCATGGTGGCGCGTGCCTGTAATCCCAGCTACTCAGGAGGCTGAGGCAGGAGAATTGCCTGAACCCAGGAGGCGGAGGTTGCAGTGAGCCGAGATTATGCCATTGCACTCCAGCCTGGATAACAAGAGTGAAACTCTGCCTCAAAAAAAAAAAAAAAAAAAAAAAAAAAAAAAAAAAAAAAAAAAGAGAGAGAGAGAGAGAAATATTTCAAATTAAAAAAAAAGAAAAACCTGTATGTATAGGGAAAAAGACTAGATGGAAACATACCAAACTAATTACCACAGTTGCATGTGATCAATGGAAGTGTAGGTTATTTTGCTTTCCCTTCAGTATTTATTTATTTTTATTTTTATTTTCTTTTTGTTCAGCAACTGCTTCTGCACCCTTCAGTATTAAGTTTTGAACAGCTAGTATAATGGGTTCTAAGTTTAGTACCTCTCCAGATTCACTGGGACTCACCTGCTGTAGGCCTCAGCCGCTTACTCAGTGGAGAGCCCCAGTCATCACTGTTGTCCCATCTCCTGATGCGGTAGTCTGTCCCAACCTCACCAAGTGTGTGGACCGGACTTCTGTACTTTCTTTATTGCACCTGCTATAACAGGAGCTGCAGCAACTATGGCACTTGTATCTGACTTAACCAGTTCCACAAAGAGACTTGCCACTTTTACTACTTCCAGAGTAAGCTGAAGCACTTACTGTGAGAATTGGGATCAGTCTCCCCAGGCTGTCTGGAGGAGCTAGGTAACAAAACCTGTAAATGTCAGGGAGTTAATGTGTCATTGGGTATAAGGAAAGTAACCAATGAGAAAGATGGAAAGAGCCAACAGATAGTTGGCCTTTGTTGACCCTAAAACACGGTCCCCAGACACCATACAAATAGTGGTTTCATATAGCCTCTCAGTTCTATGTAACTGAGTGCTTAGCTGTCTTCTTATGAGGCTATAACTAGGTCTGTGACACACCACCTGTTATTTTCTTTCCCTTCTTCCCTGGTTCATTTCTGTTTTTCTCTCATTCTTGTTCTGAGATTACACCTCCCATCAAGTCCTTAGCATGTAAGCTTTGCCTTCAGTTCTGGTTTTCTAGGGAAACAAGCTAAAACTATATTGATTTTATGAGAAGCGGAAAGAGAGAGAAGAAAAGAATGATTTAAAATAACCAGGTCAGGGCCAGTCACGGTGTCTCATGCCTGTAATCTCAGCCCTTTGGTAGGCTAAGGAGGGTGGATCACTTGAGGTCAGGAGTTTGAGACCAGCCTGGCCAACATGGTGAAATCCCATATCTCATAAAAACACAAAAATGGCCAGGCACAGTGGCTCACCCCTGTAATCTCAGCACTTTGGGAGGCTGAGGCGGGCGGATCACAAGGTCAAGAGATCAAGACCAAAAAATTAGTTGGGCATGGTGGCGCGTGCCTGTAATCCCAGCTACTCCGGAGGCTGAGGCAGGAGAATTGCCTGAACCCAGGAGGCGGAGGTTGCGGTGAGCCGAGATCGCGCCATTGCACTCCAGCCTGGGTAACAAGAGCGAAACTCCGTCTCAAAAAAAAAAAAAAAAAAGAGATCAAGACCATCCTGGCCAACATGGTGAAACCCAGTTGCTACTAAAAATACAAAAATTAACTGGGCGTGATGGCATGCACCTGTAGTCCCAGCTACTCGGAAGGCTGAGGCAGGAGAGTTGCTTGCACCTGGGAGGCAGAGGTTGCAGTGAGCTGAGATTGCGCCACTGCACTCCAGCCTGGCAACAGAGTGAGACTCTGTCTTCAAAAAAAAAAAAAAAAAAAAAAATCGCCGGTTGTGGGGCACATGCCCTGGGAGGCTGAGCAAGAGAACCACCTGAACCCAGGCAGAGATTGCAGTGGGCCAATATCGTGCTACTGCACTCCAGCCTAGGCAGCAGACCAAGATTCAGTCTCAAAAAAATAAATAAAATAGGCTGGGCACGGTGGCTCATGCCTGTAATCTCAGCATTTTGGGAGGCCAAGGCAGGCAGATCACCTGAGTTCAAGACCAGCCTGGCAACATGATAAAACCCCATCTCTACTTAAAATACAAAAAATTAGCTGGGTATGATGGTGTGTGCCTGTAATCCCAGCTATTCAAGAGGCTGAGGCAGGAGAATTGCTTGAACCTGGAGTCGGAGCTTGCAGTGATCTGAAATGGGGCCGCTGCACTCCAGCCTCAGTGACAGAGCAAGACTCCGTCTCAAATAATAATAATAATAATAATAATAATAATAATAAATAAAAGAACCAGGCCAGGTGCAGTGGCTCACACCTGTAATCATAGCATTTTGGAAGGCTGAGGCAGATAGATTGTTTGAGCTTAGGAGTTTGAAACCAGTCTGGGCAACATAGTGAAGCCTTGTCTCTATACACAAACACAAAGGGACAGGCACAATGGCTAATGCTTGTAATCCCCACACTTTGAGAGGCCAAGGCGGGCAGATCCCGAGGTCAGGAGTTTGAGACCAGCTTGGCCAATATGGTGAAACCCTGTCTCTACTAAAAATACAAAAATTAGCCGGGCATGGTGGCGCAAGACTATAGTCTTAGCTACTTGTGAGACTGATGCAGAAGAATCACTTGAACCTGGGAGGCGGAGGTTAGTTAGGGTGAGGCACGCAACTGCACTCCAGCCTGGACAACAGAGTGAGACTCTGTCTCAAAAAACAAACAACAACAAAAACAAGAACAAAACATAAAAGAACCAGGCCAGCCACAGTGGCTTATGCCTGTAATCCTAGCACTTTGGAAGACTGAGGAGGGAGGATCATTTGAGCCTAGGAGTTCAAGACCAGCCTGGGCAATATAGTGAAACTTCATCTCTATAAAAATATTTAAAAATTAGCTGGGCATGGTAGTGTATACCTGTAGTCCCAGCTATTTAGGAGGCTGAAGTGAGAGGATTGCCTGAGCCCAGGAATTTGAGGCTACAGTGAGTCATGATCATGCCACTATACTCCAGCCTGAACAACAGAGCAAAACCTTGTTTCTTATTTTTTCCCCTCAAATTCTTTTTTATTTCTTTGACAGGAAGTAAATTTATTGGTTCATTCAGTAGGCATCCCTGACTGATTCCTGGACTGTAATGTGAGTGAGTGATCAAGGCAGGTGTCCCTGCAATTGACCAGACACCAAGGGAAGAGTCTTGTCTTCCTGAGTCCATGACTGAAGTAATAGTTTTTGAGCAAGAGGGAAAGACTTGCCTCCTTTGGCTCCATATGGATAAAGAGTGTCTCTT